CAAACTTCCACTACTGACCCGCATCTCCCTTCAGTTGGAATGATGCCAAGGTTACTCTCAACCCATCGTCCTCGATGCCAAGCATTTCAAACGTCTTCACCATCTGCTTGAGCCATTCATCCACTTTCAAGGGCTCTTTCGGATACCCCACAAACTCATCTAGATTAGACTAGAAGAACTCTCTCTTTAGAAAAGATGGCCCTATCTCCACTATTTGGCTTGGACTTGATTCTCAGCCCTGAGAATGTCCATGGATTCCCGCAAAGCTTTGGCCATTTCACGAGCTAAAGCACCCATGGCCTGTTGACTAACCGGTTCGGCCACATTGGACTGAACAACCCCTTCCTCTTGTGCCGGAATACCATCTGGTAATGGCACCTCCAGCCGTCTAGGCCTACCATGCCTACTACCACTACGACCACATCCTGACATCCTAATAAAGGTAACACCAAAGATTAGCACATTTACAAATGTGTCGAAACTAACTCACTCATGTCCTAATACGGTGAACAACAAATAATTCACTCCACATAAGCACATAATCACATAAACACATACAAACTTCCTTTCTAGATAGTGATTGTCCGGCGACGCTGCCAAAGTTCCAATTAGAAATAGCAGTGATCAAGTGCTCTTCTAACAAGACTTCTAGAAACCCATAGACCCAATTAACATTTTAGAAATTAAATTACATACACACTTAGTCACATAAACATGTTATCATAACTATCTCTATCAAGCGAGATAAATCCATTGTGGTAAGAACCACTCCCTATGTACCCAAAATATTCAAACCCGGTACACTCTGATACCAAGTTGTAACACCCCGAAATAAACACAATAACTCAACCACAATATTAACAAATGACAACAATAAGAAGATAATTATATTTCATTAAGTTCCAATTAAAGTTTATAAAAGAGTAACATATGCGGATATACATTCAAAAGCCTATCCCTGAATCTATAGCATATGTTACACAATAGAATGAATTTCAAGCAAAAGAAATGCCCTAAAGGCTTACAATTTTCCAAGACAGTGCTTGGTTACAAAAAAATGGATTTCAATCCCATACAGTTAAAACCCTGGACTTGTACAAATACATACAACAAAATAAACAAGATGAAGCCCTTGCTTCCAAGTCCTCCCAAGCTATTGTCTTGGCGGAGGCATATCATCAGCACCTGAAATAGTTTTCCCACATAGGATGAGCTAAAACCCAGTAGAAATAATCCAACACAACATATGAATCTTAACAAAGATATAAGGGTGAAATGCATATGCAATGCTAGTGACGAAACATTTTATATCTCCTTCAAACCATGCAATGACAGATTTAGATCACAATTCATAAAATATTCTTTTTTCAATGGAAAATATGACAGTGAATCATATCTTTAGGAATCTCCAAAACAAGTATCACATTTCACAGAAATTTCGTCCACAGGAAACCGTAAATCGGCACCCATGTAAACGTAGGCTATACAAGCACTATTATTGTCATTTTACAGATATTTCTTCAGCGGGATCGACAATCATGTATACGCGCATTTTTGAGACTTTCACCCTAGACACACAGGCCAACTTATTTAATGTAACAACAATTCCTTTCTAGATTCACCTCTTTTCTCAAAACAATATACATTCTCCACGAAATAAATATACAACAATGCTCAATGCAAATGAATGAGAAATTGGTTTTCAATTCTCTGAATTCCAATGTAATTTCTACAGCAGTCATAGTTATCCTCCACCGATAGCCCAAAACAGATATCTCTAAACAAATAGATAATTTTAATAAAGATAAACTTTCCAAATTTCATGATATGAGTGATAATACATATCCAACTCCACCATTCTCCTCTATAACAACTCAATGTCACCATTTCAACATCAATTTCATTTATCAATACAAAATCAACATTTGAGATTTCTAGGGCAAAGACCCTCTTTTCTTTATAAAATAATTTCCCAAGGTAAAAATCCTTCTTTTCACCATGCCTCAACAATAACCATCTTTCTACAATCATTTTCAATAAACCATTTGAAAACCCTTCTGTTGTTTTTTAACCAAAACCTAAGATTGTTCAAATATCCATTTCTTTCACAAAGTGGTTTTATGAAAACAAATAACTAAGTTAAAACACATAAGGAAGTGTAGAGAATTCCTACCTCAAGCTTAGAAGGTGGAAGAGAAGAACTCGGAAAAACTTGACGTTAACAAAATCACGAGCCACTCAGATCAAAAAGAAGCCCTTGAGACGATCTACAATCTATTTCAAAGGACCAAGATGAAAGGAAACCTCCAAGTGTGTAGATCTAGGGATCTAAGCTGGAAAAAGTTAAGTTTAGAGAGGGAAGAGAGAAATCACGAGTTGGGAGGAAAAGAGAATGAAAATAATAAGAGGAAAGTGTTTTGGACCCTATTTATAGTGGCTAGGTATTAATAGAATAATAACTTCAAAGTCAAATGAAAAGAACAAGTCAAAAATCTCCAACAGTAGGGCCCAAGCCGAACAAAATCTAGAAAAATAGTCACAGGAGTCGACCCTCGTGACAGTGGTGTCGACTCTCAAGAAGAAAAGCTGAGACACTAGTGTTTGGCAGCAGACAAGGGTCGACCCTTGGAAGTAGTGGTATCGACCTTATATTTCAGTAGACAACCCAGAATAACACAGGAAGAGAAAGGTCGACCTGGAAACCCATGATGTCGACCCTATATTTCAGTAGCTAATTCCAGGAACACAACAGGACAAGTGTCGACACTGCCAAGACTGGTGTCGACCCGCAAAAGCCAAAAATCAAGACAAGTGTCGACACTACCAAGACTGTCTCCACCAAGAACACAACAACAAGGAGGTGTTGACACCACCAAGATGGGTGTCGACCTTGGGAGCAAAACAAAACAAGAAGAGAGAGAATGAACAATAGCAACGGACATGGTTTCCCGAATTCAAAAGCATTAAATGGGTCAGGTCTAAGCCTGGATTACTATAACTACTTTTCACTAATGGCTACCAATGAATCCTTTGTTTATTTCGATTAATATTCTCCTTACATGTCTCATTCAGCTTCTATTGCTTAACTTCATTTCCATACGCAGCTATCCTCACCTTTAAGGCCTTGTTGTCACACCACAATTCTTCAGCTTTTTAGACTACCATCATTGTTATAACCTCGCAATCATATCTGACAAACCTGAATCTTGTTCCAGTTGCTTTCCCTCCTTTAATCAGGATGAATACATCCTTCACCACTCCATAGTTGCTAAATAGGGTAAAGAGACTCCTTGGTTCCATAGATTCCAGTAGGTTATCCACAAAAACCGTGAACATCCCTGGTCCCCTTGATTAAACATGCTGATATCCTGGTGATCTTCTAATGATCACCGAGTTCCACCATCCTCCTTCCATTTGTGTTCAAACCTTGACATTTTGTGTTCTTAAAATTATTTTAATGTCAGTTTGCCACTTAATATCATTTTATTATCTCATAACTAATAAATTATTTTTACAAAAATGTTAGAGACTTCAAAAATTCTACCAAATGTCTCACATGGGTGTGGGACTCACATTGTGTGAGTCTTACACCCATGTGAGACATTTGGTAGAAATTTTAGGGTCTCTAACATTACTTTTATTTTTAATCATAATTAAAGAATCACAATCAGATTACTTAAATCCTAAAGGGTTGACTGAGGTCATGAAGACTTGAAAATGAAAAAAATATTAAAGTTGTGTTAATTATAACATAGTTGGTTCAAGAGAATGAGTACCTTACGACAAAATTACTTTCAAGATGTCTTGGGTCTAACCATAATATGAGAACAATTGTGAAGTAAATGTCAATCATTATAAAATAAAAGGGTAAATTACAATTCTAACCCTTAATGTTTTCTAAAAATACATATTTTGTTCTTATGTTTTGAAAATTACAAATGTTTTCTTATCAAAATTTGTCATTCAATTGACTTAACGGAAAAAATAAAATTATCCAAATATCTTCTAACTTTAAAATAAAATTATCATATTACTCTCATTTTCATTCACTATTCACTAAATCTCTCTATCTACAACTACAATATTCTTCAATCTTCCTCTACGACACACCAAATACTGGTATACAATAACCCCCAAGGATTGGCCTAGTGGTGTAGGATTGAGACTTAGGAGTTTGCTCATCTCTAAGTCTCAAGTTCAAAACCTCTTAGGTGCTATCAATTCTTGTGTTGGGCCAGTCCATACAAAGCTTTGATCTGGCTTTAAATGGGCCCCCCGCTAGTGGACGGTAGGATTGGTCTCTCAGGGCTTAGTCGAGGTGCGCGCAAACTGGCCCAGACACCCTGAGTTATCAAAAAAATAAAAAATACTGGTATACAATAATAACAGTAGTGCTTATCCAGAGTAAGAACATTATGATGGTTGGTCAAAATGATGTTACTAGTTGAGAGAAAATAAAAAATAAGGAAGGTGAGATGGGAAAAAGAAAAAAAAAATTGTATTATTTTATAAATGTTAATATATGTATTTTTTTGAAGAAAAAAAATTTGTTACTTACATCATACCTTATGTTAGTTTGATTTAATAGTTAATTAATGGAGGTGAACATTAGTTATGTGATTAAAAACTTCACATGGTGAAGTATAATTTCCTAAATGTGATGAAAAAAGAAGTTATATTTTTTTTATAAATGAGATATATTTATAATTTATCTAAAATAAAATTACCCTTGAATATTGGTAATTAAAAACGAAAACTTTTCTATATTCATAACCCTCTTGGTATATATATAAATGGATGTCATTATCATATTTCTTAAAAACTAATTATTTAAAATAAAATAAAAAGAAATTACAATTACTTGGATGTTTAAGTCAAAATTTGTGACTCATTGAAAAGCATCTTTGATTTAGCTGTTTCTATAATGCTGGGTTCCACATTGCCCACGCTCCACGCCTCTTTCTAAATTCTAGAACCACACGGTGAATCAACCAACAACGGTGCTATAATATAACGAACACTAATCACATGAGATCATGTTCTTCATAGCCAAACTAACCAATCACACACTTGTGATCTTGACGTGTCACAAAATGATAGGTTATTGATCAAGCTTTTCCATATTGAGATTAAACATTTGTATCATCCGATCCTAGCCTTCCTTCTTGTTGAGACTTTTACATATAAACATTGAACTCTTCTTCCAGATTATATATAAACACACACATTTGGATCAAAACCTCTTAGCTCTTTGTGAAGAGAGAAAGGAAGAGAAGAACAATGGTGAATAAGGCCTGTTTGTTAGTTTTCTTCTTTCTCTCAATCTCTTTATTTGTTGATATAAGCCATGGGAAGAAACAGAGTGAAGCTCTTGACAATCTGCACAGAGCCAAGTTGAAGAAGAACTCTGCGATCGACACGAGCCTTTTCGAGGCCATACGACATGTTGGTGGAGTAGAGGTTTATCCACAAGAGGGACTGAAGGAGAGAGATAGAATTGTGAGATTGCCGGGGCAACCGAATGTCGAGTTCACTCAGTATGGAGGGTATGTCACACTCAATGAGTCGGCGGGTCGAGCTTTCTATTATTACTTCGTTGAAGCACAAGGACAACAACAGTCTAATCACTTGCCTCTTCTTCTTTGGCTTAATGGAGGTATTTTTGAATTTTGTTGCCCCTCATTCCATTTCCATGTTTTTGTGTTTTGTGATGTCAATGCCACTAGCATGAACTAACTTGGTTGGGCTTATCCTTCTAATGTCGTGTTTGGTCGGAGATTTGGGAAGCGGAGATTTGGGAAGCAATTTAGAAAGGAAAAGAGAAAATGTGTGTGAAATTAAATGAAATGTAAATATATTTTATTCACATTTCACTTAACTTATTTTTTTTCCTTTCCAAATTTCTCTTCAAATTTCTCAACCAAATACAGTCTTACTTTCCTCTAATTATTGTTATTATTATTTTATTTTTAACATGAAAAAAAGTTTTTTTTTTTTTTTTTTACTTTATTTCTCTATTTTTTACACGTTTTAAAAAAAAAATTAAAATATAAACTTTTAACTTATTTTTTAAAACAACTTAATATTAATAGGTTAATAAATAATTTAATTATCATAAAAAGTTAAAGTCGCTTCGTCAACTCAAAGTCTAAACCTTTTAATATTTTTACTATACATCTTAAGAAACAACTATACAGAGCACTTGGCCAATGCCCTATCCTAATTTCCTGTTGTTATAATGTGGGTGTGAGTGGGATATACTTTTTTCCAATGGTGAATTTTTCTAGGAGATCCCAAAGATTCTCAACTACTACAACTACAATATGCGATATTTTGGTCATTGCAACTGTTCTTGGTCTTTCTTTGAAACGCGTAGTGAATGGTATTATGACAATAATTATTATTATTTTTTTTTTAACTTTTGAGTTAAGAGAAGAAATTTTTTATATGACATGAATTTAATACAAATTTGCTAGTCAGGATTACTTAATAATTGACAAAAATATGTTATACGGTACGCAAAAATTCAAAAAATTAATGAGAAACCATATCAAACCAATGTAAGTAACTTGCATAAACCATTTGAAGGTTGTTACCAATTTTTGGAGTTATTTATGAACTATTTTGCATGACTTTTTTTTAATACAATCTCGCTACATTTTTCTAATTGAACTTCTCCAATTTCACTCTAATGATATGGATAAAAAATAAAGTTTAAGAGAGAGAAAAGGTGTGAGTACGTTTTTATGTGAATCTTAATATGTTATTGAATGTAAAATTAGAGAGTCTCAATTAGAGATAAATCATTTTTCTTTTGGATAATACCAAAAATATTAATTAATATAGAAATAAATATATCAATTAAAACACATGACATGCATATGAGATATACCACTTGACATAACGACGAAATCACCTGTCGTGTCTTCATGCGTGTTTTTTTTTTATTCGATTTTGTGCTATTTTGAAATATTTATCTAGCTATTTAAAAAATTCATGACTTATCAACCACGTTGCTTGTAAAAAAAAAAAAAAAAAAAAAAAACGAAAA